CCCCATGAGACTTGCAACCAGAAGAGCAATGGGCAGCGGCAGCTCGTCCAGGATAACTCCCTGAACATGTCTCCAAGGCCCCCTTTGAGCCGAAGCAGCCCAGCCTGGGCTTTCCCAGGCTTTCCTGTTGCTTCATCTATGCCCTCCTTTGTTTCACTGTCCTAAGTATATTTTTGCTGCCATCATGGATGCCAAACCATTTGGCTCAGTGCTGTGTAGCCCTTCCTTTTGGATATCCCCATCTCTCATCCCATTTTCCTTAAATAAATTCAACTTTTCTTTGTTCACTGCCTGAGATGGCTATTTAGCCTGCCCCAATCTTCCCACCCCCCACCACGGACTTTAACCTTTCAAGTGGTAGTTATTATTGTTGCTGCACTCAAAGGAAGCCATTCGGTGCATTTAAAAGGCAGTGGATAGAAAATAGCCTCTTTTAGATATTCAGATAAACTAGAAACACCTTTTAGCATAACCTTATTCCATGACGTATGTTCTTTATTTCCCATTATCTGTTGAAACATTGCATCCTACCCCAGAAAACTCTGAAAAGCTATTTTCTGCTTTGGCTTCTCATATTATATTCTATATACTGAGCATCTCACATGCTGATGATATCTGGCTCATCATCAAATTAATTTTTATCAAAAACGGAAAAGGCAATTGAAATGATTTCTTGACTGAGGTTTGCAAAGCTCTGGGCGGGGGTGCTACTAATTCTATAAATGCCACCTGGTGACAACAAACACAACAATGATTTAAAAACGGTTCTGCACCCTCTTCTGTTGCATTGCATTCCAGATTATTATCATGAACTTGTTACCGTGGTCAGCTAGTTATTAAAAGGAAGAAAGCAAGGGAAGTCAGAAATTGTTAAGCATGGGCAGCTGGGGACACCCAGCCTGTTTGCTTCACACCCAAGGAATCGCACCCAGGGTCTCTCCAAGGGGATTAATACCCCTCCCTGTTCCCCATCCCCTCCCTGCTCTGGTAAAGGATTGTGTGTGTGTGGGGGGGGAGGGGTGGCAGGGAGGAGATTAGCACATGGGTAATAAAGTAAAAATGGTGCAGGGGGAGGTACTTCAGCATAAAACACTGTCAGTCTAACCTGGGGAAAGGTCATTGGCTGGGGGGATGGACCCAATGCAAGCCCACAAAAACTTGGGAAGATGCTTGGTTATTTTGAAAAAACTCCTGGTTATAATACAAGAGGCAAAGAGGTCTCTCTCTCTCACTCACCTGCACCTGCCCCATGCATTTGCACGTTTTCTCTCGCCTGGCAACACATGACCATGCAGGCCTGGTGGCTGCCTGGGGCCTGCAGAAGGCTACCCGGGCTCCAAAGGGCTATGAAGCCAACGCTCTGGACATTGGCTTTCATTCTGGCCCTGCTGAAGACGTGGCTGGACAGTTCCCATGGCAGGATGGAGGTAGAGGGGACCCTGGAAACCCAGGGGAGGGGCAGACTTCCTGAACAAATCTCCCCTGGATGGATCCTCAGGATTCTTTCCTAGGGATCCCCTGGAAGAGCCTGTTTTCCACCATCAACAAAACGAGACAAGCCACACCGTGAACCAGAAACACTGGGAGACCAAGAGAAACTCTTTTGTCCTTTGAGTCCATTCTTTTGAGAGCGTTAATTCACTAAAATCATGCTTTCTAATTCTATTTTTGCCTAGGAGGTAAAATGTAAGTATTTTCAGGCAGGCGATAAAACCGGGACATTTTATTCCTCCTAAACACAAATTTAGTCTGCTCAGAAGGCAGGTTTCAAATGAAAGCCACGATTTTGCTTTTGGCTCCAGGCTGGGGTTTCTGCAGCACGTTGCTCCAGCTTTGATGTGCGCACACAGGCTCCCTTCACGTTGGCTGGAGCTCCAAAGGTGTAAGAGGTTAGATTTGCAGGTGGAAGCTCAGCACTGGAACCGGGAGCCTCCGCAGGTGGCGCTCCCATCCAGGGAGACACCGACAAAGCCTCCAAATCTGCCCGTGTCTCCCATGACCTTCCTCAGCGGCGCTTTCTATGATCTTTGGCTTCTCAGCGTGAAGCTTCCAGTCCATTACTGTGACTCAGAGGCTCCACATTAGAACAGAAAGCAGTGAGGTTAGAGGTCATTTATTCCAACTCCTTCCCTTTGTAGAAATGGAAGGTGTGGCTCGGAGAGGGTCAACACCCTGCCAGTCATCCCACCGGCAAGACAAGATGGTCTGGTTCCTGGGTAAAAGTGCCTCGTCCACAGCACTGCCTTTGCCAATGAAGGCGAAGGGGTTGTCTTTTCTTTATGCTTGGAGTTTGGAACCTGCGGAGAAGACTGTACATGGTTTACAACCGTTTGTGGTTGTTAATTGTAGCTGGCAGGTCAGTCTGTTCCCAAAACAGTTCAACAAAGGTTCTTGCAAAACAACCGAGGTCCTTGCAGCGGAGAGGCTAGGTAACAAAACAACACAAATATTGTTTGCAGCAAAATTTTCCCATGTTCACACACTGGTGCCTTTGCACATCTTCTAAAGCTTTAGTAAAAATTGCCAGAGTATTTCTTTCTTTAAAAACAATATTTTTATTGATTTTAGAGAGAGAGGAAGAGAAAGGGATAGAGAGAGAAAAACAATCAATGAGAAACATCACTTGGTCCTCTCCCGCACCTCCCTCCCCCCACTGGAGAGCTAAGGGATTGAACCTGCAACCTGGGCATGTGCCCCAACCAGCGACCTCCTGGTTCATGGGTTGATGCTCAACCCTTGAGCTCCACAGGCCAGGCGCCAGGGTATTTCTTTAAGTAATACGATTTAAGTGAGAAAGTCTAGTAGAATCATCCAGAATTTCTACCAAAAGACTGCTTTTTTTTCCCCCCAGAAATTATGATTATTCTTCTTTCCTTTTTCCCCAGTAATTACATGTTGGGCTCCTTTTCCTGTTGTTATACCTACTGCTGGGAATGGAATAGCTTCTATGTCAGATAATGTGCTGCCTGGCTTGGGTAAAGCCCTCCAATCTCACTCCCCTTCATGCCATTTGCACGCATCCTTTCTCTAGGAAGCAGGTCTTCTGACAAATTACCTGTACCTTAGCCTTTTAAGGCAGACACAAATCTTCTCTGTGTTTTTGAAAGCGCTGTGTACACAGCACATAGAATCCTGGCTTATTTAAAACACACCAGAAACAGAGCGCAGCGCTAATGAGCCTCTTACCCACGGGTTTCTGAAATAGGCTGGAGGGCTGGATTCTTTTCTCAAAAAATTCATCAGAGGCAGCTAAGCTGGCAGACCCGCACACTGAATCCTCTGACGTGAGTGTCTTCATGGACCCCTTCCGTTTGGATGATCTTCACCTTCTTTTCTCAGACCCTTTGATGCTCAGATACACCTCATGGGGTGAGACATTTCGATGTGGAAAAGGAACCCTAACATTTTTACTTTTCAAAATCAAAGTCGGAGATCAAACAGAAGTTGCATATCCCTTCACATTTAAAACTCTCATCCCCAGCAGCATTCTGAAAGTCCAGATAAAGGAAAGGCATTCTCCTGCCTAAGCCTGATAAATACCAAAGAAGCCTGGCTTCTCTGGAAACACAGGTCGTTAATTATTTTTTGCCTGTGTTCATGGAGACAAACAGATTTTTTCTTATTGGTGTGTCAGTATTCATGTGCTAAACTCACTGTCATTTAGAATTTCTTCTTAAATGTGTGCGCCAGGATGCTGCCATTTCCTTTACCTTGTATGTGTCTCTTCTGCATCACTTTGGGGCCTCTATTTTAGCCACCTGAATCCTAGAACCTCTGGGCGTGCCTGACTATTGCCAAAACACAAGGTCCGGCAGCTACCCATATGCCATAGGACTCCCATCAGACCAGCAAGATGTACACATTGTTAAGTAAATGACCTACGGTTTTTTGGACATGCCAGTTTCCTTTCATCCCATTCCATTTCTCTACACTCATTTCATCCACAATGGCCTTTGGCTTAGACAATGATAGAGTCTTGTTTTGGGTCTCCCAATCTCATCTCTTGCCCCTTGACAATCTTCTCAAGACTTTTAAATACCTATTTTAAAAAATTAACTTGGATCAGATTATTTTGCTGTTAAAAACATTTTGATATTTGAAGGATAAAAACTTCCCAATGTGGCCTATATTAGCTGACAGATCCATCTCAACATCAGTAAATTATTCTTTTTTCTTATCCACATCAGAGTCTTTCTTTCAAAAATATGTTTTATTGCCCAGCTGGTGTGGCTCAGTGGCTGAGCATCAACCCATGAACCAGGAGGTGATGATTCAATTCCCAGGAAGTCCTGGGTTGTGGATTGATTCCCAGTAGAGGGTATGCATTGATTTCAGAGAGAGGAAGGGAGAGGAAGAGAAGATTAGAAGCATCAGTGATGAGAGAGAATCACTGATTGGCTGCCTCCTGCATGCCCCTTCCAGGGTGAACTGGAAGTCACTGAGTGCCGGAAGCCGGTCCATCCTTGCTGCTTGACACAGTCGCTGCAGGGAAGAAACATCTGCACAGCAGATGTTTCAAGGGACCTGGCGTATATGGCTTACTGTTCTTAATATGTTTGCTTCCCTACTTAGCGCTATGTGTTTTAAACCAAGGTCACCTCTCCGAGAAAGGTTGTTTCCCCAGGTGGGGATTTTTCCCTGGAGTTTGGGATTAACAGGACTAAGGAAGGGAATAAATCAGTAAAGCCCCTTAACTAAGTGCCAGGCGGGTAGTTAATCACTTTAACTATGAACAATCACGCTTAAGCTAACAAACGCCCTAACCTTTGGAATAGAATGGATAGGATTAAAACCAACTGGTATAAATACAGATGTAACAGGAGAATAAAGAACAGAACCAGAACCTGGCTGGAGACCCTGACTAGAGAACCTGGCTAGGCTGCTGATCAACTGAACACTGTCTCTGTGTCATTTCTTCTTCGTGGATTCTGTCCATACCTTTGGGAACCCCTGGACCTGCTGGGGCAGGACCCCAACAACTGGCGCTGCTGGCTGGTGGGAAATGGCGGAGTATTTGGCCTCCATCTTCGGCACCGAGAAGGACAAAGTCAACTGTTCATTTTATTTCAAAATTGGAGCATGTCGTCATGGAGACAGATGCTCTCGGTTGCACAATAAACCCACCTTTAGCCAGACCATTGCCCTCTTGAACGTTTATCATAAGCCTCAAAACTCTTCCCAGTCTGCTGATGGTTTGCACTGTGCTGTGAGCGATGTCGAGAGGCAGGAACACTATGATGAGTTTTTTGAGGAGGTTTTCACAGAAATGGAGGAGAAGTACGGCGAGGTGGAGGAGATGAATGTCTGTGATAACCTTGGAGATCACCTCGTTGGAAACGTGTATGTGAAGTTTCGCTGTGAAGAAGATGCGGAGAAAGCTGTCCTTGATTTGAACAACCGCTGGTTCAACGGGCAGCCCATCTACGCTGAGCTTTCCCCCGTGACCGACTTCCGGGAAGCCTGTTGCCGCCAATATGAAATGGGAGAGTGTGCACGAGGCGGCTTCTGCAACTTCATGCATCTGAAGCCCATTTCCAGAGAGCTGCGGCGGGAGCTGTATGGGCGCCAGCGCAAGAAGCACCGATCGAGGTCCGGGTCCCGGTCCCGGAAGCGTCGCTCTCGGTGTAGAGACCGTGGTCGTGGCGGTGGTGGAGGCGGTGGGGGATGGGAGCGTGACAGGAGGCGGTCAAGAGATAGTGAGAGATCTGTGCGACTCTGAGCCAGGCCATTTTCACCGTATGTCTGCTAGCAAGTGTTGTAGTTGCTTGAGCAAACCAGTTCATAATGGGAATTAAAAAAAAAGAAAATCATTTAAAAAATAAAAAAGTCGTTGGACCCCAACAACTGAGAACAACTTGCTTCTTTAGATGGCGTTGGTCATGCCAAGCACTAGAAACCATTTGCCTAACACCCCACACCTCTCATTACTCTCTTTCACTGCACCTTATGCATTTTCTTCACAGCACATTAGTAAGTTATATATTTATGTTAGTTCTCCTCTTCTGTACCGCCCACTGGGCTATATATTCCATGTAGGTAGGAAAGTATCTATACCTAGTATCTAATACAGTGCCTGGAACATTAATAGGTGCTCAATAAATACCAGTGGAATGAGTTAATGAATGAGAGAGTAGAAGAAAATGACAGTAAAACTAAAAAGAAAAAAAAAGATACAAAAAGAATAGATATGGCTCAAGAATGGAAGCTCGAGGAGCTAGGCTAAACCCCAGTGGTGAAGTGGTGAAAATCACCTACTCATTAGTTTGCATACTAAATCTTACAGCAGTCCAAGTGGTTACACAGAATGTAGAAACAATAAAAATAATTATGATACTCTTTGCTATACAATAAAAAACCCTTACAGGAACTCTAGTCTCTCGCAAATGGACTAACATTTGTTAAATTAGATGCCACAATGGTAAATAAAAATACTTGCATGTTTTTATTAGGATCTATGAAATTGATATATCTATGATACGCCAGATGTCTTAGTTTTTAGGGCTACCATAACAAATTACGGGCTTACTTCGTTATATTTCACATTGCTTTATTGGATTTAATAGATAATTTGCATTTCACAAATTGAAGGCAAGACCCTCTGCCAACAAAAAGACTATGGCTCACTTGAATGTGATACTTGCTTTATTGCGGTGGTCTGGAACCTGATGAGCAATATCTCTGAGGCATCTCATAACAAAAGGCTTAAACAACAGAATTTTACTTTCTCCAGGTTCTGGAGGACGGAAGTCCAACATCAAGGTGTTGGTAGATTTGGTTTCTTCTGAGGCCTCTCTTTTTTGCTTGCAGGTGATTGCCTTCTCACTGTGTTCTCACATGGTCTTTTCTCTTTTTTTGTGGGGAGCCAATATAGGGTTAAGCCTTGGACTGACCTGTTGGCAAAGTCACAAACAGGTCTTTGGAGTCTTAAACAATCCAATCCCAGAGGTGGCCGCTGATTTACATGTGCTGTCATTTAAAAAATAAAACTGGAAGAATTTTCCGGAAGCCGGTCCGGCCTTGCTGCTTGACACAGTCGCTGCAGGGAAGAAACATCTGCACAGCTTATGTTTCAAGGGACCTGGCATATATGGCATACGTTTGCTTACAGGACCACCTCCCGGAGAAAGGTAGTTTCCCCAGGTGAGGATTTTCCCCTGGAGTTAGGGATTAACAGGACTAAGGAAGAAAATAAATCGGTGAAACCCCCTAGTGTTACAGAAATATCATGTACTACTTATAAAGAACTTGGACTAAGACTGTTGGCAATAAACTTGGGACTTGTTGGGCCCACATCCTCAGGGGTCTGCCCACCAGGGAAAGCACCAAAGCCTATACCTTTGGAGATCCACTGGTACAGGGCAGTCCCAGGGAAGGCAAGCAGCAAGGCTGGGAGGACATAACCTTTATTCTGGGTAGGATAATCTCCTTCAGTCACTTCCTTGTAGCTTATCAGTATAGCGGCGATCTTGGAATAGCCCTTATAATGGAACACAGAGATTAACCTAGACAGGATTAAACTCAACAGAACTAGAGACAGGATTTTTGGTAAAGGTCAGATAAGAAACTATGGTAATGAAACAAGGAACTGTAGAAGGTTACCCAAAACATACCACGATGTGGTTATAGAGGCATGCTTATAGGATCAAATGGTATAAATACAGATGTAACAGGACAATAAAAGAAGAACCCTGCTACGCTGATAAACTGAACACTGTCTCTGTGTCATTCATTCTTCGCCAACTCCGTCCACACCTTTGGGAACCCCTGAACCTGCTGGGGCAGGACCCCAGCACTTTTTGCATATATTCCCAGTGTCTCTTCCTCTTATTATGAGGACCCCAGTCATATTGAATTAAGGCCTCACCTTTATGACCTTACTTAACCCCAATTACCTTTTTAAAGACCCTCTCTCCAAATACAGTCACATTGGGTGTTAGGACTTGAATATATGGATTGTTTTGGAGGGGAGGGAGGGGACAAAATTCAGTCTATAACAGCAGAGAAACTTCCGAAATGAGAAAAGTTAACTCCAAAGATATTAAGGTTAGAGTAATCTCCAGAAAATCGAGGCCAAGATTTACCTTGTACTTTTGAGTCTCATCTTTAAAAAAGAATGTGAACATGTTTTGGTGAGGCCTCTAAATGTTCTATTAATGCCATGGTCCTATATAAAAAAGGACCTATAAGTGCTTGCCAGTACTTGGAGATTTATCTAGGCTCAGCCTCCAACAACCCCTTGGGTACGTTCTTATTCTTGTTTGGTGTTCCTGATGCTTTTAGCTCTCCACCAGGCCTTTTCACATTGATCCCTAAGACTCCTTGCTTGGCTTTTACATAATTTGCCTCAAATACAGCCCTGTTTCTCACCCTGCAACCTCAGGCCATCCAAGTATGCTCCTGTCAGCCTAATCTTACAAGGAAGAGAGATTGGATCTCGCTTTGTCATGGAGAGTAAAACTGAGCTATTTTGTACTTACTATAGGAGAAACCAATTTGAATTGAATTAGATTAGTGAAAGACTATAATTATATATCATTCAGAGAAAAACACCATCTTATTAATTTGAGATTTGCATAATGAATGGCAAAATCAGTGCAGAGTCTAGGCAGAGTGCCGTCAAGAATTGAAATTGTTGGGTTTGTACTGTACGTAACAGCATTGGAGAGCTAGTCATACTCAAAGGGTAGTCACACAAGCGCTTTCTGATCCTTGAAAGTGAAATAGAGTATTAGCAAATTATGAAATGCAACGACAACCCTGAAGAAATGAAAAAGAATCATAACCTTGAAGAAGTGAAAATAATAATTTTTATGCCATAAACAGTATAGTCTGTCAATACCATGCCTGTCTCAACTCTCCATTACTTAGATGTTGCTGAATAGATAGAAGCTACACGCGTTTCTCATGGCAAGGACATGCAGACATTGCTTTCAGCTACAGGAGACTGAAAACTGGCTAATGTTTGAAGTATCCATTGAAGGTTTGTAGAAGCAGATGGTTAGAAATGTGCTATATTTGAACTTTAAAACTGCTTTGAAGAAACATACTTGTCTCAAGTGTCTGAAGAGCAGAGATTTGTCTTAAGAAAATCGGTAAGTGTGACAATTTGAAGTTCAAGAAGTTCTGGACGGATGAGGAATTACCCATAATCTAGTTGCTATTTAACATATAAGTTAAATCACTGTGGCCATCTCTTTAGACAAGCTTCGTAAATTTCCAGGGATATTAACTCCAAGATCCTAAATGCTCAAGGCAAAGAAAGTAAAAGAACTAATATAGTTACAAGGTCTTGCAGGAAGCTAAGTATATTATTAACATTCATAAGAAAATTTCCAATTTAATGACCTGGAGAAAATAATATTTGGGTTTAATGATTCTAACAAAAGACATCTCTCTAATAATGAGTAAATAATGTCCATTTGATTTTTACCTTGTGGTGGGGCTGGACTATGGTGAAGATTTGTAAAGTAGTTAACACCTCTTTTAACCTTGGAAAAGCGTTGTGTGAAGTAGCCTCATTATATCTGACTTCAATGTCTTCAACTTTAGGACATCAAATTCTGAAAGGCAGCCATGTTAGAATAAATGTATTACTGTGACCTGTGACTTATACATCAGAATTTTTGAGACAACTGAAGTGTGAAAAATCATTTAACCAACTAGATATTTTTTGAATACAAGGTCCAATTAGCTTTATTCTTTTTTCTATACCCCACCAATTAAATAAACCAAATTCATCCCCCTCCCCCACGACCCCCTTCTGTTGATAATGCTATTTGGACTTGATTATTTCTGCTCCCTGGGCATTGTGCGTGACAGGCATGAGCTGAAACAAAACTACAAATTCTATTTAGTTTAATTTGATGCAGTTTTTTTTTTTTTCCAAATGAAGTTTATCTTCATCTCCTTTATACTTGTTACTGGTGATTCTTTGTCTTAGAACTCAATTATACTGTCAAAACTGAACTTTGAGCAAATGAAACCACGGAGACCCAGAAATTTCAATGAGTTCAGCAGTCCAGATACTAGTGTGACTGGCTTATTGAACAGTCTGAATCTGGTGACATAGGAGCATGAAAATGTTTTCTCCCTCCATTGCTTTTAATCATGCTTTGTTGCATTTTTCCTTCTTGCCTCTTAACTATCTCTTGGGCACATGTAGGTGTTAAAGCTCAATCCAGTTCAACTCAAGCCTCATCTTCTACCTTATTCCCAAGAGATGCCTGGCCTATAGCTGGACAGATTAGTACTGGGAAGGTGGGGTGGTTAGCTCCTACACTTCTCCTGGCTACTCTGAGTTGGGGCAGTGGGTAGGGAACAGAGTAAAAAGACAGAGGCCTTGCTACTTGCACCATTGCAATCCTCTCTTACACACGGCAGCTTTCCCAGCCAACTATGTTGGATGGCTGATCTCTCTGTGTGTAAGCATAAGGGGCTGTTTATCTTGGGATCCATCTATGTTTGGGTTTTTCTGAGGCCTTTGCAAGACGGCCTCCAAAGTGCACAGTTGGCCTCCCTAGGAGCTGTGATTCTGGCTTCTGCTTTTCCACACCACTTCTCTCTTCTTGCTTCCCAGCCATTTCTCCACAGTTTCTAGATCCTACTTGAATAATAATAAGGCCGCTCAGGCCCACCTACCTTGCAGATATGCCCGCTCTAACCCAATGGAAAAGACATATCTTGGGCATGACAAAGGGTGGGACTGCAGGTTTTTCCTGA